TTCTTCACCCTAGCTAGGTTCTTCGGCCGCCAAGCCGTCGCTTGCCCTTCACCCTTGCTTAGTACATCGAAGCCTTTCCTTGCTATCTTCACCATCTCAAGCCATCAAGTCACATCTTGTGTTGAATCATCCATTTATTTGTATTGTTATCTTTTTCATTTTAATTTAGCAAGCTTCAAATATGAGACCATTTTATATGCAACCCCTCATGTCTCATCAACTAATTTTTACCGGGCTTGCTTTCACATAGTATATGGAAATCCCACAATAAATAAGCCTTTGCATGAATTCTATTTTGCATTGTTGTCTTCTGCTTGAACTAGATTGTTTATACGACAACACATCATTTTGGCTTTCATTAAGTACCTGTGAGATAACCTATTACCTGTTCACATTTAGCAAATGGGTTAGATCTTTAATCATGTTGTCATTCAATCATCCAAAATCTACTAAAGGGCTAGATGCACTTTCAATCCAAGTCTACTTTTCATGAATGTTTTCGAAACATACGTCCTTAAAATTGAATTGTCTTCATGTTTATCTTCCAAACACAAAATTTTTGGCCATTTCCTCCGAGTGACGCTATTTTTGTGAAACAATTTCTGAAGTCCACCATTTCATAACGTGTTGACATTGTCTTCACCAAACACAGAATTTCTTGGCCATTTCCTCCAAGTGATTGTATTTTTGTGAAATCATTTCCTATGTCCATCATTTCATAACTTATTAACATTGTATTTTCTTCATGGTTTCGAAACATTGTTCGCATACACACCATAATGAGTCATATCATAATGAGTTTGAAGCATTACACATGATAAGGAGTTCGAAGCATTGTTCATAGGTCATCATCATCATCATCTACATAAGTATTCCATCTAGCATATACAAGCACTACTACTAACACTAGTCTTCCATCTACCATGAACAAGTACTACCAAATGGCAACCCTAGGCCATTTGCAAAATATGTACGGATCTTGCTGCCTTTGCACAAAAGAAGTAGTGCTATCGTACTAGTCCTCCATCTACCATATACAAGAGCTACGTAATGCCAAAACTATTAGCATTTGCAAAATATGTACTACACCTTATAGGCATTAGTTGAGAGGAAACACTACTCATCGTCCTCGTCATCGTCATCATCATGGTCATCGTCACCGTCATCGTCCTCCTCCTCCATGGGTGCGGGGATATGGCCGTCGTTCGGTGCATCATTAGGGACTACAAGAAGGAAACAATGTCTCATTGCCAACAATTGTAAGAAGATGCACAAGTCCAAACAAATTTTGAAATCAATTACTCACATAAGCAACAGATATGCCTATGAAAAAGGCCATCTCCCTCGCATCCTCGGCCTCCTTAAAGTCGTAGGCCTCCTTGTTTTGTCACCAGAAGCTCATCAACTCGTCCTCGCTATTGTAATAGTTCAGGGGTCGACCGGTCACTCGATGAAAGTCCTCTAAAATCCTGTTATGGGTCTTCCATGATAGCATCTCTACCCCGTACCTCATCCTCGCCTCCATCTGCTTCTCCTCCTGCATCCAACACTTCCTGTCTTTATTGAGAGGCGAATGTATCTTTAGCCTCTCCACTAACTCTCCACGACCAGTGAAGTCCTCCCAATCGCATGTCCTCCCCACCTAAGCAAACACAAAGCAATGAGCAAACAAACCAATGGCCTATGTTCATGTAGTAACTTCACCGATTCAGTCAACTTACCCATAACTCAGACGGCCCTCCATAAGCATTGCCACAGTAGTATCCGTATCCTAGCTCAGACGGAACAACTCCTTCACGAGCCTTGATGCCACACTTGCACTTATGGTCCAGCATCTTTGTGCATGGCCATGGCTTAATGCCTACTTGAAACTCCAAAAATTCATACTCAGAAGGCCAGTGCAATTTGGGTCCATAGTTGTACTCCTCAAAGTCACAAGATGGGAACCCTCTCTGCAAAAAACACATGTTGCAATGTAACATTGTATGTGCAAAACGCACACATGCTTAGAGATAGATTGCTTTCATGAGAACTCACATAATCTGACAATCCACAACGATAGAAGGCAGTGAGTGCTCCATGTTGGCTAGGAGTAGTTAGTCTCGTCAACGCTCCACAAGGGCATCTAGGAGGATTGGCTAGATAACACAGAACAACGTCAACCTTCTTCACCTCTATCATTTCCGGAGGGTTCGGTGGCGGTGGAACCCAACGAACAAATTTTGAATATGGAGCACTTTTCCAGGGGTCATAAGGAAACAACATAATCAACGGATCGAATATTTCATTGCTATCGATCCACTAATAAAAGTTGCATCCCTCTAGGTAGGCATCAAGTGTCGGGGGATGTTGCTTAAGTTGGCAACAGTAGAAAGCACGCCTAGCTAACGCAGGATGCCTTGACTGCTTCACAAATGCCGGTAACCCATAGAGTAACACAACGGTGCTGGCTCTGCTGGTAGGAAAGGACCAATACCACCATGGTCCTTCGGATAGTGCATGAATTGGTTGTCATTTCGAACCGCCATTGAACCTATTACAAAGTAGTTCAACAAAGCAAAGATATGAACCAATACTATTACATAGTTCAACAATAATTTCCATCTCAATCATCTCTCTAATAATGTAAACCCATGAAACTAAACCCTAAAACAAACTTATTTAATGTAAATGATGTCTATACATACATAGTCCAACTTATCTATACATCTAATCACCACAAAAAAACTTCAAATCACACACTTCCATGAAAGTTTAGTATCAACAGTCTAACCCATTCTGCTGTCTAAACCAGTGCACTCAAGCCCTAATGCACTGGCAACCAAAGCCAATCACAAAAATCATAAAAGTTCAACAAGTACAACATGAACCATAATATATTAGCCGTGATTAGCCAAAGCAACTTTCATTCAACCAAACAAAAGCCAGTTTTGCACACAGCAGTGTAAACCACAACAATATATAAACATCAACTAAACACAAAAAAAACAACAGAGGTGAGGGAGTCATGCCTCATGCACGAGAGGGTTCAAACCTGAAATGCAAATGCAAACTTGATCAAAGATAAATAGAGGATGGGAGAAAGAGAAGAGAGAGAACACTGGAACATGAACTCACCTCGACCTCGCCCAGAGTGAAGGGAGAGAGAAGAGAGGGAGGAAAAAGGAGCTGAGTCGCAACCTTTATATGGGCTTGTCACGCCAGCCCGCCTGGCGCGACAAGGCGGGGCCCACGGCCCGCCACCAGCTTCGGTCAACGATGCGTGCCACCGTGGCGCCCCTTGTCGCGCCAACGCATGTGGCGCGACAAAGTGGTGTAGTCGCACCAGCGGTGCTGGCGCGACCAAAAGGACTAGATTTGTAAATATTTTTTTGAAATTAGTATTAAAATATTGTTTAAAAAAGGATTAAAATAAAATAATCGAGTTAGAGTGTGGTTGTTGGATTTGATGCCATTTTGTGTTGGCCGGTGGCTTAACCTTGTAAGCTGGATGGTGATTGATTTCTATATAATAAGTTAATAACGGAGCGCACTGCAGCCTGCTTTGATCTAAAAATATATACATCAGCAGAGGTGAACACACACACTACTACTACTCTCCACTTTAATTGTGCAGAAAGAAAAGAAGCGCTAGAACACTATATATATCCAATCTTCAAATTGCAGCGGAAGCATACATGCTGCCTGTTCTGCAGCACTAATTCAACAGTACTTTTTAGTTAACGAACAATATTTTTCTCTCTCACAAATCAAGCATAAGCGCACATCAGCACAAGCCAAACCAGTACTGTTGGGTGTTGACTAGAAACTAGCTAGATAGTACAGTAATACTGTAATTTAGTATCATGACACCATATATGTCACTGTCGTTTAAAGCCGTGCGCTTAATTACTTGCAGCTGGCAGTCCACGCACAGTGATCTATATATCCACTAGATTTCGTGGAGAAAGCTAGTAGGCGCGAACACGACCCAAAAGTCAGAACAACGGCGCGATCTATAATTGATCAGCTGAAGTCGATCGGCCGGATGCAATGGGTCGATATGATGTTAATTAAGTCGCCATCGCTGCCTAGCTCGTTTGCGCACGGTGCTGCTGTACATCTCGGCGGAGAGGTGGCCGGCCGGCCCCAGCACGGCCCCGGCCGCAGAAGCCTCCCCGGAAGCCGACTGCCCTTTGACGCGCGCATACGCACTCCCCGGCCTCATTTGTTAATCTAGCTAGACACCGGGAAGACTAGAGACGTGTGGTTGCGTGCTTACCGCTCCGATCGCAAGCGGAAAATCTAGCGCGCGGCCCTGGAGCCCCAGATCCACCTCTCCACGCGTACGCCGCCACTTGCTCTCCCTCCTCCGCTTATGTTTGCTGGCCCTAGCTAGCTAGCTACAAAGGCTGCCCGGCCGATCGAGCTCTCTCCAAGACACCTAGCTACTACAACCACTTCTTCCTTGGCATGCACCACGCCTCGGAACCCTTCTTTCTTTCCTCCTCGATCGATCATCGGCTCTAGCTCTCCTCATCCATCTCCTCGATCACGAGGAAGCCAAACCCTTCTTTGTGTAGTGCCTCCTCTCCTCGATCACGCACTCTCTCAGCTAGCTAGCTGCTGCTCTGCGTGCTTTCATCCTGTCAGAGATCAGCTCCTTATTATGTTGGCTTAGCTTCGTCCTCCGCGACCGGTCAGTCGATCGTCCAGCGGCTAGCTTCTTCTGCACGCTGAACCTGCCTGTAACCGTAGAATATGCCTCCAGACGTCCTCCAAGAGCCATGACTAACACCAGCAACACCAAGAAGCACAGCCTCCTCGCGCCAAAGGCCACCGTGGACATGTCTCGCCTGCACCAGGCCTACGACCGCGGCTAGCTAGGCCGGGTTCATAGCTAGTGTTTGTGTTGTGTCCTTGTTGAACAGAAACCCACGGCTAGCTAGCCTAGCAGTGTCTTGTGTGTATTTGTTTCTTGCTCAGTAACGTTTGCTGTCGGAAGTTCGTTCGTCACAACAATGAAGGAAGGAGGCGAGAAGAAGAACATCCTCTCCAAGACGCTCCAGAGGTGCCGGACCTCGCTGCTGGCCCAACGGAGGCGGCCCGAAAGGGCGTCGTCGTCGCCGTCCCTGGGTGTGCCGGTGCCGGCCGCCGGGTACTTCACCGTTCTGGTGGGCCCGGAGAAGGAGCGGTTCGGGGTGCGCGCCCGCTGCGCCAACCACCCGCTCTTCCGAGCGCTGCTGGACGCGGCCGAGGCCGAGTACGGCTTCGCCGGCTGCGACGGCCCGCTCGAGCTGCCCTGCGCCATCGACGACTTCATGGAGGTCATGTGGGAGATGGAGCAGGCCGACCCCAGCGCGTCGCCTGGCTGTGGACGCTTCGCCGCCGGCAGCATTAGAGGACACCACCACCTTCACCAGGCAGGCTACCAGATGGTGAGCCCGGCGAGGTTCCTCGTCGCCGGCCGGTCGTGATGTTATATATTATATATATATAGTCGTTAGTTGAACGGAACGCCTGCTTTGGTCGCCGGCCGGCGACGATCTAAAATGGTCTGGTCGTATCGTCGGTTGTGGTTACGTTGAGCACTTTTCTGAGATCAACTTCTCGATCGCTTGATGAAACCTAGCTCTTTTCTTTTTCTTCTTCTTTGGCATCATAAGTAGACTAGAGATCCAGGCACGCACAAGTTTGTTCAATTGCTTGCTTTGCCGTCTGTTAACGTTTGTTTCACTCTCTCTTTGCTTTTTCATCGTAAGTGTACTCCATAGATTTGTTTATATGTCTTGTAACTCTCATGTTGTCTTCAAGTCGTTTAACGATGTATATATGCTATATGCATCGTGTTTACTGTAACGAGTGTAACAAGTTAAATATATATAATGGTGTATGTTCTGTATATAACTATATATCGTTCGATGCAAGTATGCTCTGATAAATTCACGTGCTCTCTTCACATTTTATTTCATCCATATGCTATCTAGGATGAACTGTTCATATAGATAGTTTGATTTTCACCTATATACACGCTAGCTTCTCCTATCCCTAGAACTTTGCATGTTTGAAGTCAAATTCTCTTGGATCCTCTAAGATTAACTATATATAGGTGAAACGTGATATTGTACGAGAAGTGAATCGAAAGAAGCTACTTTTCTCAGATACCAGCTCCCTAGTTCATTTTAGATACTGTTTGGCGGATCTCCGTCTAGATTCAATCTGGAAACTGCTCTAGGAGCTTTGCCAAACAGTCCCATAGATTTGTCACATGAGTCTTTATACGAGAGTAAGTGTGGTTTCAACAAATAGGCTCTCTAATTTGCTTGGGAGCAAGTACAATATTACTAGAAATGATGCAACATTTGATACTTATTTGTAGGTTATTTTCAAGGCAACCTAATGGTAATGGGAGTCTTTAGGCTTGCTAGAAAACTGAGCTAGGTGATGATGCAATGCCTTTTAAACTGCTTATAAGATGCTACTCTCGAACCTCTGTTCATGATTTCCGTTCCTAATGCAAATGGGGGATATCCCTGGTCGATTTTTTTTTCAAGGCAACATATCTTCTATATACAGTTATACACGTTGGAATATCCTATAGAAAGAGAGCAACATATCACTTTCGAACTGGACCTATCACATTGCTGGAGAGTATGTCTACGAAGATCTTTGCCAAGCACAGGTGGTCATCCTTTAAGAAGATTAGTGTTTAAGCAATTGCTCGTTCGCTTGGTTTCTGTTATTGAGAGGTTTTCATTAAAATAGCTTGAGGCTGGAATCTTTATAAGGATCAGCTGTGTGTAAAACTATTTCCAAATACCAAAAAAAAAAAATCTCTAGAGAAACGATGCAACAAATGGAGAGAGCATTTGTAACCAAATATGCTGCTTAGTGTGGATGCATGTCTTGTGGATTTTCTGTGTTTTGATCACCTACTAGTACCCTCTCACGTTGACCGACTCATTTTCTCACTTGTATACGAAGACGGAAACCACTTTTAATACTGCTCTGCAAACAAATAAAAGATGGAAAACATTCCGCGCTCCGAAGGCAAAAGTACGTATACAGCGCAAAGCAACCCATGAGCTAAGTCAAAGTCGCAGCTACAGCCAACAGCTAAGGAAGTCTAGTCTAAGAGCAACTTGATCCATATGCAAATGCAAGCGTACGTACCCCCAAGCGGTTGAGGACACGGCAGGCACAGATTTTTCCGACTTACCGGGCCTGCAGTGCAGATGCTCTGAACCGGCAAAACTAACCATCATCACCTGCCGCGGAATTGTGCAGCAAATCATTGTCATGGCATTGGCGCTCTGTGCCGTCCCAAATCGTCAGTCAGAGACTAAAATATGATGAGGTCGCCGCTCGCGAACCAAACGACAAGTTTGACAACGTTTATAAAATCACAAATGGTACTCCTAACCTACAATAATGCATCCCGGGGCCGAGGTCACAAGGCACGCGGGCTTCATCCATCCATCCAACGAATCCTGGCCCCTCACAAGTCACAAGTACATCCACTCAAAAAAAAAAAAACAAGTCACAAGTACAACGGTCTCCGTTTCCTTTTCCTTGTGTAAAATAATGCAGTATGATGATGGTGGCAACAAATACAGACAACTAGCATGACGTCCCAAGGTTAGCGTAGTGGCAGGCTGGCAGCATTCGGTCCGACGCGTGTATATATTTGCACGTCATCCCTCCCGTTCATACAACCACATCATAACTTAGAATAATCTATGCGGCTAGATTTGAAAACGCAACTTACTCTCGAATACAAAGTTGATTTTTGCACTAGCAATGTCACATACTAGATTTTTTCCCGGTAAGGCTAATTATCAAGATGTTTCGATACCAAGGTTACAATCGTTTCTTGTCAATTTATCATCCACCTTTGAGTATCTAGAACACAGTAACAATCTTTTGCAAGCAGTGTAGAGGTACACTGCTACCACACATCGTTAGTCTTCCTCACTGATAAACTGGTATCTTCTGAAGTCCGAACAGTTTTACTCTACCAAAGATCAAGCTGAAACGTGGCACCGCTATACACCCGTTTATATACACTCTTCGGAGCTATAGCCTATGCAAGTTGTAAAACCTAGCGATCGCTAAACTATGTTGAAGTAGCAGCCTGCTGCCTGCATCATCTGACTTCAAGAATCCATTGCACGCAATCTTGCAGGAGCTGGAACTTTTGGCTGACCGCCACTTTCAGGAATACCCGCATTTTGCTGAGAAAATATGAAGACTCTTCCTTGCACCGGAAGGAGCCCCCACAGGAACACTGCTCCGACAAATGGGCGGCTTTCACTTGCCTGCAGCGCACGCACACCAGATCCTGCAGGTGGTACAGCCTCTCTCGCTGGCGGACCACCTGTAGAAGTGCGTTCTCCATCTGCTCACGGTGGTATGGCTGCCCACACTGCAGCACCGCACATCTCCACTCCTGACCTTGGAGTGTTGAGTCACGGCAGAGATCCAGGTCCCGGCAATCATTGCAATAGCTGCCAATGTAATTGTTTCATAAGATTTGGTAACATCATGATTCAAGAGAAGACAATGAAAATAGCTGCTGAATCTGTACATTATGATTCTATCACAAAAGATTGGAACAATTTCCAGCTAAGGCCTTGTTTGGATGTAGTCGGATTCCAATCAATCCACATGTGTCCACTCCAATCCATCCCGACACATGTGGATTGAGGTGAATCCGACAACATACAAACAAGGCCTAAAGGTTACATTTTAATTCTGACCCATAGATCGTACCAATTTTACAAATTGAGCAGTTAAGATGAGAACTGGCAAGAGAGCAAGAAACACTATTTGGTTCCAATTCTCTGATTAACATTCTCCTGTTTCTTTTTTATGAAAATGTATTTCAACTCATTTTTTTCAATGCAAGCACAAAGATAAATAGCTAAAATACTATCACAAATGATCATGCAAGGATGCAACAAACTTTCCACAATTTGGTTTATGAATACAATACCTGCAGATCACATTTGGCAGAGTGAATGAGGCACATGGGTCTTGGAATTGTGCTTCTGGAGCAAACTCCTTTACGCGAACCAACTTTAACAGGTTCTTCCTCATTCTCTGCCAGAAATATTTGTATGGTGAGAGGAATTACAGTACAATTACAAGTGTAACAATCTAGTCCAATCAAAAAAGGAAAGGTTGGTTATTCTTCTGCAACATTTGAAAAAAGGAGTTTATTTTCTTGCCAGAATGTGGCACAAGACCATTTGGTTAATTCGAAGACAGGCAAACGTACTGATGACAGCGCGGCAGTAGGACTTCTAGTTGGGAGGCTGCAGGTCAGGGTCAAAGAATTTTCTACCTTAACTGTTATGCCTCAGGGGAGGGTTTTCCCCCAGGGCCAAGTCTTTTTTAATTATTTTAGTCAAAGACAGAAGGACATGACTCAAATGTTTTTTAGTTAAGTAGTCAACATGCATGTCAAGCCGAGAAGACAGACATGTTGGCCTATCTGCAAGTCATTGGTAGATATATAGCAACAGCACAGGGAGGACACCTAACTATTTGGTGAAGAAGAAGAAATAACAATTAACAAATATTCTTCTGCTTTAAGTTCTTCCAGTGAAAACAGCAAGTATCAGTTGAGTCGTCCAAACAGAAGATTTACCAAAATATCATGCTGAACATTCTGATCAAGAGCAAGGACTGCACAGATATGCTTAATGAACTCCAATGCAGCATCGCCTTTATGCGTGTGAGGATCGGATTCTCTATTTGCAGGTTCATCTGACTCATGCTTGCTTTTCCCTTTGAAATGGTGAAGTATATCACTTACAGTTCTTAGAAGCTTGTCTGCAAAGTAATTGCTAATCTGCATAACCAAATATTAAAGTCAGATTATAAACAACAGTGTTTCCAGAGCATATGGTACTCCATTTATTATAAATATTGTGCTCAGGAAACTCCATAACTTTCTGGAACTCTGAATACCATCATTAGCTTTATGCACCACAATAGCAATATATTAATTGCGGTTAAAATGTCACTGGTAAATGTTTGGATGTCCACATTTCCATGTTATCTGGATGAAGAAAATATATTACCTTGTCACGGAGGTGTTCTATCACCTGGCCCTCAAGATTCTCGGCAGCCATGACTGTTACAGATGGAGTGCATGAGGTATCATCCCTTATGGTAGCTTGAGTAGCTACTTGTTCCTTCATGAATTTCCATGGAATATATAGGAATTCGGATACAATTAAGACAAAGTGATCCTGTATTTTAACAAAAGAAAAAAAAAAGAAATATAAGGTCAGAGCAATCATTTGAGTTTCATTTGCAGGAAAGTCGTTACTAATGTTAGGATGACTCTGAAATTATAACAAATAGACCTGTGTATCTTTGGGCAAATCTTCTGCCATGTTCCAGCTTGAGACAATGTCAATATCATTATCACCATCTGAAGAGTCTGTGTTTTGTGTTTTAGCTTGAA